TAGCCGAGGTGCAGCCGAGATAGCCAAGGCCGGCCGAGGTGGAGCCGAGTCGGCCGAGGGCTAGCCAAGCCGAGCCGAGCTTTAGAAATTACCTCCGCTTGCAGCCTACCATTGCGACCATGCGAGAAAGTAAAATCCGAAAATCCGGCATGTTGCTGGTCTTGCCGATATCAGCTGAATAAGCAACACTCGCGAGAAAATAAACGACCGTTCGAGTGGCTTCACAGAAGTGGTACTGATAATACAGCTAATGGGTGGTAATTCCAGAATGGAAGGGCCTGGTGTAGAATCATTAACAAAGAATCCGCAAACCGAATAATCAAGCAGTCTTGGTGCCATTGGCGTAAAAATGTCGGTTAAAAAAACATACCGCTTGCGGGAAGACTATAACCGAACGAATGCGTTCTATCGCTACCATAAACAAATGCTACATAGCGGCCACGGTATCGCTGATCAAGTGAAATCCTATGCGCTCCAGCTCGGACTGTAGTACGTAAAATGAAGATACTGGTTAAATCATGCAGTTGAAAGTCCTCCTCAAACCCCACATATTCGTCATCTACAACGGCTAGGCGTCCATAATCATCGCACATAATCTGAAGCTGATTGCGTACATGCATAAAGTTTCAGCAATATGTAAATTTTAGAAATAGAAGTGCTGGAAAAATAACGATGAATCCAGTGGCGAACACTGGCTTAAATCTAATTTTTTCCCTTTTACTGGTTTATTTTGCTGCCAAAAGTCCTTAAACATATAGCCAAAGAAATAAGTCTAGATAGAGACAGCCAAATTTCGCTAACTTCTCAGACGATTAAATGTCATTGACCGGTTGTAAAAATTGTTTTTTAGCTAGCATGAAGCAAAATTGCGGTACTTGAGCAAAAAGAATAAATAGCAACGTGCACCAGACTTGCCGGTTTGATCATGCGTTTTGTGCAATTCCGCCCAACGAATGATTGCCTATTGTTGATTTTCACTACTTTGTGCCAAATAGTTGAAACGTTGATAGTTAAAAATCTCACGCACCGGCGCATGAAAGCCGAATTTGAAACCTTGAAAGGTAAATGTCCTTTCGTGACTCCCGAGATAATAGTTTTCCAGCCAAGATTTTCACTGGTCCGTAGGTGATACCCGAGAGCGCGGGAAGGTCGAATTTTTATTTGCAAGATCGTTCGTGAGTAGGGGTAAGTACCCTAAAATTTCAGCTTCCTAGTTTGTGTAGTTCCTGAGGTAATGCTACCAGCAAAAATTTTCACTGGCCCGTAGATGATACCTGAGAGCGCAGGAACGCTGAATTTGAGTATGCAAGATCGTTTGCGGGCAATGGGTCATCACCCAAAAATTTTAGCTTCCTAGATTCCGTGGTCCCCAAGATAATATAATTTACCCGTCAAAAGTTTTCAAGGAGTCGTATATGTTACCCGTGGGCAGGGAAAAGCTGAATTTAAATTTTCCGGGTAGTACATGGGCGGGAGACATGCCCACAAAATTTCAGCCTTCTAGCTTCTGTAGTTCCCATGATAATAATTTTATCTGCCCAGACTTTTACGGGGCCATACGTGTTACCCGGGAGTACGGGGAGACTGAATTTGAATTTGCGGAGTCGCACGTGGGTGGGGACGTTACACTAAATTTTCAGCTTCCTAGCTTTTGTGTTTTTGTGTTTTTCGAGTTGAAAATTACGGACAAGTTGCTGCGGACACACACACAGACAACCACGTGACAATACACGTTTTGTACTGCTGTTACACAACACAAAACGCGTAAAAAGAGATCAGGGACGTGATAAAACAAATTTCGAAATTCAGCATATGTACTACATTTTGTTTTTATGCGTTCTTACATATATGCAAAAACACATATTGTGACAACCCCGGTGTGTGTGTGTGT